TAAATTCCAAGGAGGGCTTGTTGCGTACTGAGGACAACAAGTCTTCTTTGCTTTAAAAAAAATTAAAGGGGACGATGACATCACGTGGTCTGGTGCCATCAGCAGGTCTAGGGCCTTGTGATCAGTGTGCCCTGTCTAGGCGTCAATCTGCTTCTGGGACCATGGGGGCGGTTGCTGTGAAGAAAGACAAAAGATGTCGGTGAAGTTGAGAATCAGTAATAGATTCAAACATATTGTGAATACGGATGTTCTGCCGACGTTCCCTATTTTCCAAATCTTCTTGGAGCTGGATTTGGGACATGGTGTGTTTCAGATGTGCGTTATCTTCTTCTAAGACATGGACGTATTGCACCAATTTATCAGATTTATTTTCTATTGCCCACTTCAGTGGAAATAGAGGCAATAATGTTGCATAGAAATACTTGTAGTTTTTCATCCAACGCAGATACTGTGAGAGAAGGCGACACATGAGGAGTGGCAGGAGCAGAGGGAAGGTGACTCAAAGAAGGGTGTTCTGGTGCCCCCCACCACCAATGTCATGGGCTGAGGATCTTCCATCAGTGGGTGTAACGTGGTTGGGGGATGCTGGCTGCTCAATTGTAGATGGAGCTGCAGTACCTCCCGCCACCGCTAGGGGTCCAGAGCTCATCCTTGGGCCTGCGGCCATACTCGAGGCAGGGGATTGCTGCAGCGGGAAGGGCCACGGGTCATGTGGCTGCAGGGAAGGGGGCTTCCAGCGCCCAATCTTCCCCATTATTCCTCCCTTATATGCTGAGCCAGGTGCGGGATTACTGAGACTCACCCAGGGATGTCTGGAGGCCGTGGACATGTGGACATGTGAGTTGCTAAGGCCGGGGATGGACAGAGCTCTAGTGGAGTGCGACCTTCCTCATCCCCGGTTGCGCATGCTCCCCCCTTTTCCATTTTTTAGTTTGCTTTTACTCGTTACTCTTAATTTTTTTTATATTTTCATATATATTTAAATGTATTTTTATTTTTTCCTTTTCCTCGTCTTTGTGTAAGCGCTTTGTCCTTAACAACTCCTATATAAAGTAGAAATTCCTGCCCTATGTGTCTTTGGATTTTTTAATTTTTTTATTCTTTGGTAATGATGCTGTGGTCAGCAAGCGCACAGCTGAGGCCCAGCACATCTGTAATTCCTCTGCTTTGACAACAAAAAATCTTCCTTCTCCTAGGCACTCAGCAATCATTTTTAAATATTATTTTTATTTATTTCATTTAGTCTGGGCACTGGAGGCACAGTTGCAGAGGGGAACCTATGGGCCTATGCTATCGCGCTTTCACAATACAGGACATTAAAAGAGAGAGCAGCAGTAAATGGGAGGGGGGGGGGATCCTACCGCCAGGGGCTGCCATCTTTTCCTAGAGTGAAATTCAAAGCAGCATTCACCAACACTCACCCCTCCATCTCCAGTGTCCACCTGTAGTGCCTTCTAGGTTTAGGGTAACAGCCTGGGATGAGTCAGCCTGGGAATGAGGCAGGAGTTCACCTCAGGACAAGCTGGGCAACTCTACAGGTCAGGGCTTCTGGAGCCCTCCCACCATTCCAGAAACTCAGCTAATTTTCTGGAAGAGGGGCGAGGGGGGGGGGGGGAAGGCCAAGATCTACATGTTGATGGACCTTGGCCAATCTTCTGGCAGGAGGATGGGCATGGTGACCAAGGACAACCTTAAATGTGGCAGAGCCTGGGGATATGGAGAGCAGAGTCAGGTGAAAGATGGACCGAAAGAAGGTGCTGGAGTGTGGAGCCTGAGAGGGGCCCCAGGTAGAAGAGCCTACCTACAGGCTGGTTGGTGGAAAAGAGGATCTCTACTGTACCACTGTACATCCACTGAACATCCTGAGCAGCAGGGAAGGAGCCTGCCCCGTGAAAGACCTGAAAGCAGCTACCACCCACACCATGCTGATGGGAAAGGACAGTGTGAGCAATTCTATACCCCATGGGCCAGATAAAGGGAGAGGGCGGTCAGGTGCAAGACCCAACAAGTTCTTATGCGGGACTGCTTAATTGCAAACTCTCAGAATCCCTTGCCCAGGGACTCCCTCAGTGCAGCTGGGTGAAGAGAGTATTCATCTGGGATATAAGGAGATACACCAAGGGGATTTTAGTGCTCATTGAAGAGACTGTGTTCTATTTTTGCTAATCCACATTTTTTGTACCGTATTGTTGGTAAGGATAAAAATTGGTTTATCCTATCAAGATTAAATCACAGAAATCCATTTTATTCCCAAAAACCTAATCTAGGGTTCTCTAGTCTTAGATTATGCAAACAAATAGTTACTCAATAATATGGCCCTACAGTTAGGAGTGAGTAAATATTACCAACTATACCCTGTGTGAGGAACCGTAAATTCAATAGTTTTTGAGGAAGATAAACAAGACAGCTCTGGGGGGGGGGGCAGACCCTTCATCTCCAGAGACACTTCATCCATCTTCATAGAGGACCACTCATAAGGACCATTCATGATCACCATTCATCATCATTAGAGATGAGCGAATTTCTCAAAAATTCGATTCGGCTGATTCGGCGAATTCCAGTGTGAAATTCGATTCGATGCGAATTTCTTCGCTACGAAGATGACTTATAAAAAGGGTTTCTAGGCTTCAGAGAGCCTTTAAATTAGTGCAGAACACTGTACCTTTAATTTAAATGCCCTTGGAGATGAGGAAAGAGAAGGAGAAGGAGAAGGAGAATGGAGAAGGAGAAGGATGAGAAGAAGGAGAAGGATGGAGAAGAAGGAGAAGGAGAAGGATGAAGAAGAAGGAGAAGGAGAAGGATGAGAAGAAGGAGAAGGATGAGAAGAAGGAGAAGGAGAAGATGAGAAGGAGAAGGAGAAGGAGAAGAGAAGAAGGAGAAGGATGAGAGAAGAGAAGGATGAGAAGAAGGATGAGAAGGAGAAGGATGAGAAGGAGAAGGATGAGAAGAAGGAGAAGGATGAGAGGATGAGGAGAGAAGAGAAGGAGGAGAAGGAGAAGGATGAGAAGAAGGAGAAGGAGAAGGAGAGGAAGAGGAGAAGGAGAGGAGAAGGATAGGATGAGAAGAAGGAGAAGGATGAGAAGAAGGAGAAGGAAGGAGAGAAAGGATGAGAAGAAGGATGAGAAGAAGAGGAGAAGGATGAGAAGAAGGAAGGAGAAGGAGAGAAGAAGGATGAGAGAAGGAAGGAAGAAGGAGAAGGATGAGAAAGGAGAAGGAGAAGAAGGAGAAGGAGAAGGAGAAGAGGAGAAGGAGAAGGAGAAGGATGAGAAGGAGAAGGATGAGAGAAGGAGAAGGAGAAGGAGAGAGAAGAAGAAGGAGAAGGATGAGAAGAAGAGAAGAAGGAGAGAGAAGGAGAGAAGAGAAGAGAAGAGAGAAGGAGAAGAGAGAAGGAGAAGGAGAAGGATGGAGAAGGAGAAGGAGAGAAGAAGGAGAAGGAGGAGAGAAGGAGAAGGATGAGAAGAAGGAGAAGGAGAAGGATGAGAGAAGGAGAAGGAAGGAGATGAGAGAAGGAAGAAGGAGAAGGAAGGATGAGAAGAAGGAGAAGGAGGAGAGAGGAAGAGAAGAGGAGAAGGAGAAGAGAGAAGGAGAGAAGGAGGATGAAGGAGAAGGGATGAGAAGAAGGAGAAGGAGAAGGAGAAGGATGAGAAGAAAGAGAAGGAGAAGAAGAAGGAGGAGAAGAAGAGAGAGAGAAGGATGAGAAGAAGGAGAAGGATGAGGAGAAGGAGAAGGAGAAGGATGAAGGAGAAGGAGAAGGATGAGAAGAAGGAGAAGAGAAGGAGAGAGAAGAAGAGAAGGAGAGAAGAAGGAGAAGGAGAAGGAGAAGAAGAGAAGAAGGAGAAGGAGGAGAAGAAGGAGAGAAGGAGAAGAAGAAGAGAGAGAAGGAGAAGGATGAGAAGAAGGAGAAGGAGAAGGATGAGAAGAAGGAGAAGGATGAGAAGGATGAGGAGAAGGAGAAGGATGAGAGAAGAAGGAGAAGGATGAGAGAAGGAAGAAGAGGAGAAGGATGAGAAGAAGGAGAAGGAGAAGGATGAGGAGAAGGAGAAGGATGAAAGAGAAGGAGAAGGATGAGAGAAGAAGGAGAAGGAGAGGAGAAGGAGAAGGAGAAGGAGAGAGAGGAAGGAGAAGGATGAGAAGAAGGAGAGAGAAGGATGAGAAGAAGGAGAAGGAGAGAGAGAGAAGGAGAAGAGAGGAGAGGAGAGGAGAAGGATGAGAAGGAGAGAAGAAGGAGAAGGAGAAGAGGAAGGGAGAAGAAGGAGAGGAGAAGGAGAAGGATGAGAAGAAGGAGAAGGAGAGAAGAGAAGAAGGAGAAGGAGAGATGAGAAGGAAGGAGAAGGATGAGAAGAAGGAGAAGGAAGGAGAGAAGAAGGAGAAGGATGAGAAGAAGGAGAAGGATGAGAGAAGAAGGAGAAGAAGGAGAAGATGAAGGAGAAGGATGAGAAGAAGGAGAAGGAGAAGGATGAGAAGAAGAGAGAAGGAGAAGGAGAGAAGAGGAGAAGGAGAAGGGAGGATGAAGAGGAGAAGGAGAAGGATGAGAAGAAGGAGAAGGAGAGGAGGAAGGAGAAGAAGAAGAGAAGAGAGGATGAGAGAAGAAGGAGAAGGATGAGAGAAGGAGAAGAAGAGAAGGAGAAGAGAGAAGAGGAGAAGGAGAAGGATGAGAAGAAGGAGAGGAGAAGGAGAAGAAGAATGGAGAAGGAGAAGGATGAGAAGAAAGAGGATGAGAAGAAGGATGAGAAGAAGGATGAGAGAAGGAGAGAGAAGGAGAAGAAGGAAGGATGAGAAGAAGGACAGTTCTGTGACAGTTTCTGTCTATTTCTGACAGTTCTGGGACATTCACTCCATACAGCTGTTTCAACCGCTGTATGGAGGGAATGTCATGGAACTGTCAGAAATAGACTATTAATGACAGTTCTGGGACTGTCCTTCCATGCAGCGGTTGAAACATTGTATGTATTTTTTCCATAAATGGATCCATTTATGGAAAAAATACATACAATGTTTCAACCGCTGTATGGAAGAAGGACAGTCCCAGAACTGTCATTAATAGTCTATTTCTGACAGTTTTATGACATTCCCTCCATACAGCGGTTTCCCAACAGCTGTATGGAGGGAATGTCCCAGAACTGTCAGAAATAGACTATTTAATGACAGTTCTGGGACTGTCCTTCCATACAGCGGTTGAAACATTGTATGTATTTGTTTCCATAAATGGATCCATTTATGGAAAACAAATACATACAATGTTTCAACCGCTGTATGGAAGGACAGTCCCAGAACTGTCATGAAATAGTCTATTTCTGACAGTTCCATGACATTCCCTCCATACAGCGGTTTGAAACAGCTGTATGGATGTGATTGTCCCAGAACTGTCAGAAATAGTCTATTTCTGACAGTTCTGGGACATTCACTCCATACAGCTGTTTCAACCGCTGTATGGAGGGAATGTCATGGAACTGTCAGAAATAGACTATTAATGACAGTTCTGGGACTGTCCTTCCATACAGCGGTTGAAACATTGTATGTATTTGTTTCCATAAATGGATCCATTTATGGAAACAAATACATACAATGTTTCAACCGCTGTATGGAAGGACAGTCCCAGAACTGTCATTAATAGTCTATTTCTGACAGTTCTATGACATTCCCTCCATACAGCGGTTTGAAACAGCTGTATGGAGTGAATGTCCCAGAACTGTCAGAAATAGACTATTTCTGACAGTTCTGGGACTGTCCTTCCATACAGCGGTTGAAACATTGTATGTATTTGTTTCCATAAATGGATCCATTTATGGAAACAAATACATACAATGTTTCAACCGCTGTATGGAAGGACAGTCCCAGAACTGTCATTAATAGTCTATTTCTGACAGTTCCATGACATTCCCTCCATACAGCGGTTGAAACAGCTGTATGGAGTGATTGTCCCAGAACTGTCAGAAATACTGTCCTTCCATACAGCGGTTGAAACATTGTATGTATTTGTTTCCATAAATGGATCCATTTATGGAAACAAATACATACAATGTTTCAACCGCTGTATGGAAGGACAGTCCCAGAACTGTCATTAATAGTCTATTTCTGACAGTTCTATGACATTCCCTCCATACAGCGGTTGAAACAGCTGTATGGAGTGAATGTCCCGAAGTAGGCAAAATTTCGGTTTCGCCGCGAATCGAATATTTCCTGAAATTCGACTCGAATTCCGGTTCGCCTGGTTCGATTCGCTCATCTCTAATCATCATCATAACTGATAGACTCTGTCTTGCAATGGGGACTCTTAGACGTGCTTCATTTTGAAAGACAGACTCCATCTTATGTGGATCCATCGCCACCCATCGGTAGCCATTTTTAGGCTTTGGTCAGCAGCCATCTTAAGGGCCCATCTATTCATTCCAAGCGATTTATTTTATCTGCTTCTGAGGGTAACTAACAGTGTGCTATTATATACACAATTCATGCTTGTTCAATTTAATATTTCGACTGCAATAATTTTTGATGGGACTGATATTCATGGTATCTTAGTCTTTTTTTTTCTTATTTTTTTAAATCATCATCTTCCTTCTGCCATATTGGCACAGAAAGATTTGGGCCCCTTTTGCAAGGGAATAACAGTTGTAATCTGTCAAACGCAAATTGTTGTCTGCTAGGTTTAGTTATAATTGATTATGGTGTCTACGAAATGAATTTAATTATTTAATTTAATCTAGCACCCAGGTAGATACATATGTTTTAGGGGGGTAAATTAAGGTAATTCATTGCCAATATAATTTTGTTGTATGTGTCACATTAAAAAAATACGACTGTTAATTGTGTTTTTTAAGCAACTTAAAGGTGTTACTAAACCCACAAATGTAAAATCAGTCTGTTTATCCAGTAAAGCATGCTTTTTATACTCACTGTGGGAACCTAAGGGGTTAACCCTCTGCATTGTGTAAAAAGGCTGTTGGATCCTATCTTCTCTGATCCTTCCCTTCTTCTACTGTCCCCATTTCATCTCTTGATAGACTGACAACTCATGGGACCCCGGCAAACAAGAGATCATGGGCCCCCTGTGTCCCTGTCTACACTCAAGTCACACCACCACAGAGGGAAATAACTGGAACCGGGCTTTTGTGGCTCTCATTGCAGCAGCTAGACTAGGATACTGTATATTGAGTGCAGCGAGAGCCACAAAAGATTGGTTTTAGTTATTTCCCCATCCCACTGGTTTAATCACCTGCTCTATCCCTCTATCCACACTTGATTCCCTCCTGTTGGGGGACTGTAGGTGTGAAAACACAGGGCTAGGATTTCCCCCTTTTCAAGCCAAACCTGCCCACTTTAGTGGTGCATTTTGTAGTATACACTAAAGGATTGACCTCGGGCACCTACAAGCACTGCGGTGAACAGTGGGTGTGACTAAATTAAATTTTACAGATGGGAGGGTCTTATGGAGCATAGTTTAAACAAAACCCAGCTTACCCGTACCTATATAATGTGCTTTGATTGCTGTGCCACAAGCAAGAGTGCCACAGACACATATAAACTAGAGATGAGCGAATCGAACTTGGCAAAGTGGAATTCGTTTCGAATATTAGGAAAAATTCGATTCGCGCCGAATCCGAAAATTAGCAAACTTCGGATGCGCGAATCGAATTTTCCCCGATCGGCCGATTTTCCTTCCCTTCTACAGCCGGCAAAAAGTGTCCTGCAGAGAGCTCCGCTATTTCCTGACAGTTCTCTGACAGTTTTCCTTCACATTTACAGCGGTTTGAAAACATTGTATCTATTTGTTTCCATTTAGGATACAGATGTTTTTATTCGGAAACAAATAGATACAATGTTTCAACCGCTGTAAATGTGAAGGAACTGTCAGAGAACTGTCAGAAATAGCGGAGCTCTCTGCAGATACACTTTTTGCTGTACTGGAATTCTTTTATTTTATCCCCTTCTTCATCCAGCACCTTTCATCCTACTTCTTCATCTTATTTCTTCCTCATCTTCTCTCGTCTTCTCTCTCTTCTTCATCTCATTTGTTTTTTTCTTCTTCTTCTTTCTTTTCTCATCCTCCTTCTTCATACATTTTTTTTTCTTTTTTTTTTTCTTCTTTTCTTTTCTTCTTCTTCATCCTTCCTCTTCCTCTTTTTTCTTTCTTCTTCTTCTTCTCTCATCCTCATCCTCTTTCTTCTTCTTCTTTTTTTTCCCTTTCTTCTTCTTCATCTTCTTCTTCTTCTTTTTTCATTTCTTTTTTTCTTTTTCTTCCTCTTTCTTTTCTTCTTCTCTTCTTCTTCCTTCTTCTTCTTCTTCCTTTCTTCTTCATCTTTTCTTCTTCCTTCATTCTTCTTTTTCTTTCCTTTTTTCTTCTTTCTTTTCTTTTTCTTCTCCTTTTTTTTCCTCTTTCTTCTTACTTTTTTCTTTACCTTTTTTTATTTTCTTTCTCATTTAAATTTTCTTTTCTTATCCTCATTCTTCTTCTTCCTTCTTATTTTTCTTCCTCATCCTCTTCTTCTTCTTCTTCTTCTTCTTCTTCTTCATCCTCATCCTCTTCTTTTCTTCTTCTTTTCTTCTTCTTCTTCATCCTCATCTTCTTCTTCTTCTTCTTCTTCAAAAAAATCTTCTTCTTCTTCTTCTTCTTCATCCTCATCCTCTTCTTCTTCTTCTTCCTTCTTCTTCTTCTTCTTCTTCTTCTTCTCATCCTCTTCCTCTTCTTCTTTTCTTCTTCTTCTTCTTCTTCTTCTTCCTCATCCTCATCTCATCTCTTCTTCTTCTTCTTCTTCTTCTTCTTCTTCTTCTCATCTCTCATCCTTCTTCTTCCTTCATTCTCATCCTCATCTCTTCTTCTTCTTCTTCATCCTCATCCTCATCTCCTCTTCTTCTTCTTCTTCTTCTTCTTCATTCTCATCCTCATCCTCTTCTTCTTCTTCTTCTTCTTGCTTCTTCATCCTCATCTCTTCTTCTCTTCTTCATCTCATCCTCATTCTCTTCTTCTTCTTCTTCTTCTTCTTCATCCTCATCCTCTTCTTCTTCAATTGAAGCTGCTTCTGCTCCGCCACTCTGCCATTGGGCTCTTGATAGTCGTCTCCCCACACTGCTGCTGGGGGGACTTTTTAACATAGGCCTCTGTATGGCCTTCAATTTAAGCTGCTTACGCTTCGCCACTCTGCCATGGGCCCCTGTACCGCCTCCTCTTGCTGCTGCCAGGCCCGTAATCTGTCATGGGCCCCTGTACCGCCTCCTCATGCTGCTGCCAGGTCCAGAGTGTGTCATGGGTCCCTGTACGGCCTCCCATTGCTGCTGTCTCCATCGCCACACTCTGCCATGTGCCACTTTCAGGTCTCCTCACACTGCTGGTGGGTTCCATTTTGTCATAGGGTGCTGTATGGCCTCCCATTGCTGCTGCCTCCACCGCCACACTGTGGCTCCACACTCTGGTTTTGGCCCCGTGACTGCCCAAATGAGTGAAGTGTGCGGTGATTCTAAGATCGACGGCACTCATCTGCATGTCATACTGACTGACAGTATTATTTCTCTTCCCCAGCAGACTCCAAGGGCATTTAAATTAAAGGTACAGTGTTCTGCACTAATATAAAGGCTCTCTGAATAAACCTCAGCACAATCAAAAATAAAAAAAGAGACTCTCTTCCACTACATATGATTTTGTGCACACTGAAAATAGAAAGCTAATGCTTTATTTCAGCCTATCTTAAAGAAGAACTTCATTAAAATAGTCAGGGACTGCTGAGCAACCAGCAACTGCTGACACAATGAACACTTTGGAGAGAAGTATACAATGTACAATATAGTGTATATAGTGCAGGAGTCTGTAAGTCAGAATGCAGAGGACTGAGGTGTGCAATGCACAGAGTGCAAGGGTCAGGAGTATGTAATGCACAGAGTTCTGCAGTCAGTGTCAGGTTTAGGAGTGTGATGGATTTGGTAAAATATCTATTTCATTTCATATTGAATATATATACACTTTTTTATACACATTTTTTTACATATTTAATTTTATACTTTAATACTATTTTCTATCCACATATTTATAAATGTTTAGCATGAATATATATGTTGTGTGAATATTTTCTGCCTGCTGGGCTTTGTGGTACTTTAAGAAATCCTTGCTTAAGAAATGTTTGCTCACAGGCACAGACCCCGTCCCACGATGTTATTTGGAAGACAAAAGAATGTTTTCTTTCTATAAGATAAGACGGAAGAAGATCACACCTATACCATGACGGAGATTGTTTTCGTGTAAAGTGACCAATCAAAGACTAATATAATGCTTACTCTGTTCTCACGTGATGTTTGCATCATTTTTCATATATAAACTCACGGTTTCATTTCAATAAATTAGAGAGAAGTTTTCACAGACCAAACGTGTCAGTGTGAGTTTCTTTATGTGCACATTCCAGAAGCTGGCCAGCATCATAAATTAGGACAGGAAC